AAGTCGTGTGTGGTGCAGTAAGTGCATGAATTGCGGCGTTCACGAGTAATCGAGTCACAAAGGGTTCACCTAAGGCCGTTTGATCCTATAGGAACTCATTTTCGGGCCCTCTACATGTTGATCCTTAGCCCTTGCAACTAGATGTTGAGTGCTTGGACCCACTCATGTGAGTTCTTCACAAAAATAAGTCAAGAAGTGGTTTGAAGTTCTACGATGAACAATCTTCAATAAAAAAGTTTAAGCTTACAAGTGGACATCAACCACTTAATATTTATATGTCGGCATATTTTTCAACTATCCAATGCCAAATTAAGGTAAGACCTCACTAAAAATGAGGTCAACACTATCCAATGCAAATTAAGGTAAAAGTTTCACGTCTTAATAAGGATAACAGAAATTCATGATTAGAGAAAGCAACAGGCCAAGCTAAGTCAGTTAGTTTGGTTAGCTCTAATTTTCATCTAAGCTTGGGTAAAGATTTGTCCCAATTCATCAATTTGCACAATCTAGACTGACAAATGTCCTTAGTGAGAATGGGTTGAACATGATAAAGTCTATTTGAGAAGCTCAACTGTGAAATTTGTCCCACCCCCTAAGGCAAGCCTAATCTCATCCAAAACAAAAAAATAAAAGTGATCGAATAAAAAATGTGCTTGATTATTTTGCCCAATCTAAGCTCCAGAAGCAACTTCAAGAGATTATCCAACAAGATTGGAAAATTCCAAGGTTACCCAATCAATTCAAATAACCATGACACATTCCACCAAGATGGAAATAAAAACTCGTTCGCATCACAACAAATTATTTGACCGTCTATATACAGATCCTAACCAAAAAAGTGTACGATGCGGTGAGGAGAAATAAGTCATAGCAACATATTAAAAGAGTCATAGATCAACATATCCGTCATTGAGTTATTCATTCATTAACCCAAACAAGTAGCTTTGTTCATGATTTTGGATCAAAATGAAATCATGGGAAGGAATTTACATTCAACTATGACCGAAGACATTGACCTTAAATAAAAAAAAATTTACAATTCAAATTATGTTAAAACATAAAAGATAATCACAAGTTGTTTTCTAGCCAACTGAGGCCCTAAAAGGCATGTCATGCAAAACCAACATCTATAAAACAAAGTATTAATGATACTAAGGGCATGTTTGAGATCAATTTTATTTTTTATCTTTTTATTTCATTTTTTTAAAATATGTTTGATTAGTGTGTTATTTACATATTTTTATTTTGTTTTTAAAAACAAAATTTTGAAAACACTCAAAAATAACTTTTAATGGTTTTGAGTGTTTTTAAAAATAATCATACTTTAATCAAATAGCCAAAACACGTTTTGTTTATGTTTTGATTTAAAAGAAAGCATGCATGGTATGATATAACAGGTTTACTTGTTTTTAAAAATACTCAAAACAATTTTTAACCAAAAAAATAATTAAATGTTGGGCAGGCAGAACACGTCCACCTCCATACTTGAAGTGCTAAAATTAACTGGACCTATAAATTGCACGGAACAGATGATCACAATAGAAGTATCACTTTAACACTTCTAATTAAGAGAAGGAACCCGGTGGTCCAAGATGAGCCTACAATGCTAGTTGATGGACCCACATCACAACCCAAAAAAAAGTGAATTAGAATAATTACTAATATATTAGTAACTCAATTTTTATTTCCACTTTTAAAATGTGAATCTCAACACTGAAGATGATGTGATAATGAAATTGATATAATAAGTCAAAAAGTATCTAAAAATTTTCCACCACGGTTCATAAAAACTCTCAAATATAAGATGTCCCAACTTACATCATTTCTCAGTGTTTTTACAAAACAATCAACAGTGCTTTTGTAGCTGGAATCTCCCATCATTCTGGACTTCACCTGTGAGAGAACATAATAAAAAATTTGATGCCCAATTTGAAGGAAACTTAAAAAAAAAACTGAACTTCATTCAACTAGAGCAAAGTACATGTTTATTATATCAAGATTCTAGAAAGATAAAACAGTCAGTGATGGAAAAAAACTTTAAAAAAAAAGTATACCACATCCACAGGAGAGCCAATACAGACAGCAAAGAAGCCAGCCCCCAATCCAGATAAGAGGTGGGTAACAACATTATCCGTAAATCCTGGGATTTTCAAAATTGTCTGGGGAAGAAAAACAAGAAAAAATGATTAAAATCACTCATAATACCAACAAATGTGTAAAACTTATCAAGCACCTCATAATGTGATTTAATGTCAATATGTTACCTGCTTCACTTGATCATAACTGGCCAACTCAGCAGCATTTATAATAGCGTTTCGAGCAACATTTGGACCAACACCAGTCCATAGAGCCCCTAGTCCTTCCTAGTATTAGATTTTATAAAATTTTATTAATATAAGTATTGGAGAAATGCAAATTGCCACATTTATAACTCTCACCTGTTTTATTATTGTAGAATAAGCATTAAGTGCTCCCGAATAACGTCTTGGCACACCAGGTGGAAGTTTCCCTTCAGCTTGAAGTCTTACTTTAACCAGATCCGTTGGATTTGCTATTGTAATCGCCAAAGCACCTGATTTCGAAACAGAAAATTCATATTGCATTTTAAGAATGAAAAGCACACTAAACTGGGTTGATACCAACAAAAGTAAAGTATAGTCACGAAACGGTCTTAGTTCATCAATAACATGCATTTAGGGTTTCCTACAAAGAAAATGTGCAAAATTTCATTTTTTTTTATCCTTGGAAATACAAACCAGTTGTAAGACCAGCAAGGATTTTTTTAGAAAGAGGGACGTCTCCAACAAAATTTTCACCAACGTAAAAGTTTTTGACCTGCAATGAGGAAATAGAATACAATGAGGACATAAATTCTATTATTATGTCTATCTCTGTAAGGAATTCCAAATTACCGGCTCATATAAGCCAATCCTGAGCCCCCCAAAAAGGCACTGACGATGAAGGCCGGGAACAATACCCTTCCAGAGTGATTGTAGGCCTTCTTCCCTGGCAATTGTCGCTACCGTCCCTAACATTCCCCTATATTTCGGTAGAGCTACCGAATCTCCTGAGATAGCTGTCCTTTGTAGCTGAAGCCTGACTTTTGCAGTGTCCAACGGGATGGTACAAATCTGAAGGTAATTAAAATTACTATACAAAAACAAAGCCACTAAATCAATAAAATCATGAAAGAAAAAGGGACATTGCTGAATTTTACTAAAATTCAAGATTTTAAAAATTGTAAGAATATTTACGACAATAGTTTTACTAAAATTCAAGATTTTAAAAATTGTAAGAACATTTAAGACAAAGCATAATTATAAAAAATTGATGACAACAGTGAGAAACCAAATGTTGCTAAAGAAACAACCAAGTCAGCATAACATATGTGAGCTTTAATGATTTTGATCCAAGGAGCTTCATATTTTTCTGTTTAGGTATTCTTCATGTATTTGATATAGAAAATTTATCAGAAAGAAGTTGCAGATTAGTCATGTATGTGCCGATCAATATGCAATAACCACTTATAGAATGACTGGCAAAGCTAAACTTTGCACAAACGCTGCAATAAAAAAATTGGTAAAAGCTTCTTTCTTGACAAGTCAAAGCCTTGGATTAAAAGATACTACCATATTTCCATTTACAACAAGGTTTTTTGCAAGTTTGAAGTAGAGCTTTAAAAATGAAAATAAATCATCCAAAACAAGGACGCAAAATTTGTAATTTTTTTTTATGTAAGCCAAAAATTAGAAATATATGAAATATGGAAGTATGATGCAATACGCCAGAGAGTGAATATTACTCTCTCTTTTTTACTAGTAGTAACGAACAATTGCAATCAAAGAAAAGGAGAATAGAATTGAAAAATTTTGGGTGAGAAATAAAGATAAAATGTTAAGTAATTAATGCAATAAACAGTAAAAGAAGCAAAGAGAAAAACATAGTTTTACATGAAAAGTTCAAGGAGGGAAAACTCACAGGTAGAGGATAAGAAAATTCACTACTTTTGAAGAAGATTAAAAAGTGGAGCAACAGGGTTAGTCAGTTGACTCTCTTCACAAATGCAAAACCCTAGTGGAAATATTATACATCCACTAGTGTAAGAAAAGCTTTTAACTAAATCAATCCTAAAAGCATAAGGGTTCACATCGGCTCAATCCCTCTGCTATCACCACAAATCCCCTAAAATTTTTTTCTATAATTTTGGTTGCTCAAACCGTGAATTTTAGATCCAAGCCCAACAAAATTTGGGTCACATCACAACCAAAATACACCAAGACAGGCTTCATTACATAACCTGAAAAGAATAAGGTGAAGTGCACATTTCTTATAACTACTTTGGGGTAATTAGGTAATAAGCTATGTACAGCTAATGGAATATTCAACACTACATATATGCCTATCCTCTACTATTCTCTGTTATGGTATAAAAAATTATTAGCTGTCATTTCCCTGTTCTGCTGCCCGTTTCATGGTATCAGAGCTGCCGCCCAAGGTCATTCGAGCTTCTTCAAAAACCGCTACAGACGATCGCACCTAGTAGGCGCCGGGAACAATAGGGTCGCTTCGATTGGAGCCGGCAACAAGGATCACCGATTTAGAAACTCTACAGAAGTAAGAATCCTTATATTCTTTTATGTTCTCCAACCTCAACTCTCTAAACTGCCCTAAATGTCCACCTCTTCTTAATGGAAACAATGCCCACTAATGCTATCCCTCTTGCACTAAAATTCCTACTAAATAACCTGGCAAAATTCAATCAAATCCCCTTTCAGCTGAAAACTACCGTATATGGAGAGCACAAGTACTTAAGACCTTTCCAACTAATGGCTTCCTTAGATTCTTACAAGGAAGCACCCCATGTCCACCTAAATTTATTTCTTCCATTGAAGATAGCCCAACACCAAACCCTCAATATTCAAACTCGATCTTAATTGATGAAAACTTGACCGCAACCTTGTTCTCAATCATTTCTTTGCAATTTTGTCTTATGTGCTTCATCTAGCCACCACTGTTGAAGTTTGGAATACCTTAGCCAAACATCTTCAACTGATAAATAGATCAAAACTAATCCAGTTGAAAAACGAGCTTTCATAATCTTTCCATGAATGCCCAATCCATGAGTCAGTACCTCTCCACTATCAAAATGTTGGCGGATAATATATACGCTGCAGGAGGACATATAGATAGAGCGGATATCATCCTCTACACTTTAAACGAATTACCGTCCAACCATCAAGCATTCAAGACGGCTATACGCAACTACAACCTATGAAGCTCGATGACTTCTATGCTTTATTGTGCAGCGAGGAAATTAATCAAGCTACGGATCAACAAAAAGTGGGGCTCACAATAAATGCCTATTGGGGACGCGAAAGTACCTGATCCTGTGGTCGTGGAAGAAATCAGCCATCTAACTCCATCAGGCCACACATCAACCGCTCTTCAATAGTGTGCCAAATATGCAATAAATTTGGCCACTCGGCTACACATTGCTGACACCGATCGAATCTTGAATATACACCCACTAATAAGGTTTTTCAAGTTGAATCATCATGGGTTCTTGATTCTGGATCTACAACTCGTTTCACGACAGACCTCAACCAACTTCAACTAGCTACACCAGCCGCTGGACAGGTTCTAGTGGGAAACGACTAACACATAAGGTGAAACACGCAGGTGATGGAATCATTCCTACACCAACTCGCTCTCTATGCCTTCCTTCCAGATGGCATGCACAATCCCTTTCCACAATCTATTATATGTTCATAAAATCATTGCAGATAACAATGTTGCTATTCTTTTTGATAAATTTGGTTTTCTTATCTTTGATCTGCAGACCCACCAAATCCTACTTTGTGGCCATAGCTCCAAGGGGTTATACTCTATTCATACTTCACAAGACTATCCATCTATTTTCGTTGCTCATCAAGTTTTGTCTACCTCCATACAAACATCTATATTGTGGCACAAAAGGCTTGAAGATATCCAGACACTCTACACCATCTATCTAAGTAGCAACCAACACCTAGCATCAATTATCATTTTCCTTTATGTAATAGTTGCAAATGTAGCAAGAGTCATAGGCAACCTTTTCCATCTAGCTCCTCAAATATGTACTTATCTTTACAGCTTATACACTCAGATGTATGAGGTCCATCTTCAATATTATCAAATCAAGGTTTTTGTTATTATGTGAGTTTCATTGATGAGTACTCTAAATTTTGTTGGGTATATCCTCTCAAGCATAAATCCGAACTCCCCCAAATATGTTTGCAATTCCTGCAAATGCTCAAGAATCAATTTAATACAACCATTAAAACTTTTTGATATGATAACGACGGTAAATATAACTTTAATCTCAAACAATCCTTTCATCAACAAAGTATAATCCACCAATTCTCTTGCCCATATGCACCCCAACAAAATAGAGTGACAGAACGCAAACACCGTCACTTGATTAAAACCACCCAGACCTTATTGCATGATGCATCCCTTCCTCTCAAATTTTGGCTTGAAGCCACCGTCTACCTCATATTTCATCCAAAATTACCAAATAGCTTGCTCCTTACGAACTTCTATGCAAGAAGCCTCCTACATACTATCACCTAAAAGTGTTTGGTGGCCTATGCTACCCATGGTTGGAACTCATCATACCACACAAGCTAGCTACTCAATCCACACCTTGCTTTCTTGTCTACTCTCCAAACCACAAAGGTTTCAAATGGTATAATCCTCACACGTCTAAAATCATCATTTCTCAAATATGGATTCTCATGAAACCGCATTTCCCCACCGTCAAGATCCTCCACCAACTTCACCTCCAAGTAATCCATTTTAAACCCACTAATCCTCATCCCTGCATTGACCACTAATTCATCCAAATCCTCTACACTTGTGCCTATCAACCACACCAAATTCTCCACAAATCTCCTCCCTTCCTCTGATATCGGCCAATTCAAACAACTCCTCAACACGCCCTCCAGCTCCTCATCAGCCACTGATTCATCCAAATCCCCTATAATTATTTTCTATAATTTTGGTTGCTTACACCGTGAATTTTTAGATCCAAGCCCAACAAAGTTTGGGTCACAAACTCTAAGGGTGTGGTAGCATACTATTAATTAGATTTGGCCATGAATTTAGCTTAAATCCAGCCAAATATCAAAATAAATAAATAAATCAATCAATCAAACGCCCCATTAAAGGTAATTTTCTAGCATTCCGTCATTTTTAGAACGTAAATCC